GTCCTGTCTATAATTTCAGTTGCTTTGGTCCTTTTGGGGCTTCTCTAATAGTTCAGTTGGTAAAGAATCCACCTGCAATGCAGGAGGCCCTGATCAATTCCTCAGTCAGGAAGATCCCCTGGAGAAGGGATAGGCTACCCACTCCAGTATTCTTGGGCTTCCCTTGTGGCTTATCTGGCAAAGAATCTGCCTGCAATGCAGGGGACCTGGGTTTGACCTCTGGGTTGGGAAGATCCCCTGAAGAAGGGAAACGCTACCCACTCCAGTATTCTGGCCTGGAGGATTCCATGGACTGTATAGTCCATGGGGTCACAAAGAGTCAGACCTGACTGAGTGACTTTAACATGCTCCTTTTTATATAGTTCCTTACAGTGGAGAATGCTGTTCTTAAATAGCACACACTTGGTATTAGAAATCAACCTGACATTTTCTTTTACCAGTTAAACATTTTTAATTTCCATCTGTGAGCCAGAAATTAGAAGACAGTTGACATAAAGAGATGAATGTGACTTGGTAACTTCCCTCAGGTACCTTCTAGAATAATAGACATATAAACAGAAAGTCCAGAAAAATACATGAGAGGTGCCATAATAGGAGTATATACACACGGGGGTGTATACACACGAGGCATTGTATATACACAAGGGGGTGTATACACACAACATACAAGAGCATCCCAGGGGTCATTTTTACAAGGAACAAATCAAGGATGAGGAAGTGCACTTCCAATAGCACTAGTTAAAACTTAGGACTATAAGTCAGTGGTTAGAGTTCATTTTAAATACACTAGCACATCTCATTATTTAAAAGAATTCTAGCTGCTGCTATAACAAAGATACCCCCCAAATACACAAGGCCTCAAACAAGATAGGAGGTAAAAGCTACTTTCTCTGATGTAACAGGTAAAGGAAGATATATGAGGAGGAAAGCTCCTCTCTATGAATTATTTCCCCCAGGGTGACAGCTCTTCTGCCATCTTCAAGGTGTCATGAAGATGTGGTCATCCAAGGCTACACTCAGGGCCATCATCTGCTAAGCAGGAAGAAGAAAAAGACTGCAGGTTCACAACCAGAAATGTTATCTTTTGAAAGTCATCTTGGAGCCCTTGTTTTGCCTGATGCGATAAAAGGGGGGAGAAACACTTCATCTGAACACTTCTTGCAAACTCAGTCAAACTATTTCTCAGTTCCCCCAGGCTTACCACTTGGCCACATTTGTCAGCCTTCATCTTCTCATGCCCTCTGTGGTTGGCGCTAAACTTGGGGCTCTTAGCAGCATATCCCTGCAGGGGATGGAGATCAAGTATTCATTTCTGTCCGGAATCATTTCTCTCCTGTGTTTCCTCTTGCCCAGGACAAGCATCCTTGTCCTGTGGGGTTCTCAGCAGGGATGGGGCAGTTGGTGATTGGACTATCTCTGGTTCAAGGTGTTCTTCCAGTCCATAGCCGCCTTTCCCACTGTTGAGCTCCCTTGAGATGCAGGCACACCCTCTCATTAACCCAGGTGGACATAGTCCAATGCCTGCCATTCCAATGAATCCCAATCAACTGGCCAACGAATCCTTCTGCAGCCTCAGGTCCTTAGCCTGTGCCGTGTTTTCTCCTGAACCAGGTCTTCCTCTTCCTCCTCCCCTAACTCCTCTCCTCCGCCTCCTTTTTCTCCTTCTCTTCCCTCTCCTCCCCCTTCTATTCTTCCCCTCCTCCTCCTCCTCCTCCATCTCTTCTCTCTCATCCCCCCCCCCCTTTCCTTTTCTTCCTTCTTCGCCTGTTGAATCATCATGCATCCTCTCTTCAGCTCATGGGCCACCCTGACAGCCAGGCTGGTCCACACCGGCTTTGTTTCTTCCGTCCTCACTGGCGGGCTCGGTACATAATGCCATAATTCTGTTTGCAAAAAAATCAAGTTCTGCCCAAAGATTTCCACCTCAGTTACAATGAATTACCATAACCTTTTCTCTCTTGTTCACCTGTTTTCACGCCAGTGATACTTCCACTTTTGTTTCACTTACAAAGCTCTTGGCAACTCATATACTTTACTAACACTCCATGGGCTGCAGTACTGTCCAAGGCAACTCACTTCTCTTTTGGGAAAACTCTATATGAGTCTCGCACTTCTGTGTTCAGTGCAGCTGAGACACATCCCCCATCTCCCAAATACTGCGTCATGCCTTTCTCTCTTTTCACCTCTTTATTCCTTCTTATTGGGTTACACAAAGGTTCACATGGGGGTTATACATGACCTGCTCCAAGACTGCTCAGCTGCTACTTAAAAAGCATCACTATTCCGGGATGTCTCCCAGGGTCCAGTAGTTAAGACTGCCTTCCATCTCAAGGGGTGCAGGTTTGATCCCTGGCCAGGAAACTAAGATCCCACATACCGCATGATGCAGCCAAAGCTTAAATAAATAATTGTGTTTTAAAAAGCATTACTATCCTAAATCTTTGCATGTCAAGAAAACTTTAGAAGCTTGCAACATCTTTTGAATGAATTGTTAATAACTAATTGTGAATCATCATATGCTGAGCTAATACTGGGGATTTTCCATGCCACACAAACACACACACAACTAAAAGTTTCAAAATAAAAGCTATTTTCTATGTGTCGCTCACATAAGATCAAATCCATTGTCTCGTTTTTCCCTTTTCACTTAGAGCATATCACTGTGTACCATTTTCTCACACCAGAAAAGTATATCTACAACTCGTGCACGTTTTTGGCCATGCGTAGCCATTTGTATTCCTCTCAAATCAGTTCTCAGCAAAGCTGAAGGAGTCATCATTTTACAAACACCAAACCATCTTTCCATCCAACAGGAAGGTATATAATAGCTAGTATTCTAAGGAGGAAAATGTAAGTTATAGGGGACCTTTCCTGGTTTGTTTCAAATATGGCCAGATTCTCCTCTGTTGATATTGGGAAGAAGGGAAGGGAGGGAAAGGACTGAGCGCAGAGGTTTAGGTGAGACAGTGAGATGATGGTGAGGAGGGAATATTGTCGGAATCACGGAGAGCAGGGTTAGAGGGCGAGGACTCGGGGTCACAGGGCACAGGTGAGACCTGCGGGCAGTTGTTTAACATCCTTGTGTCTAGCTCTCCTCATCTATAAAATAAGAATAGTAGTGTCATTCTCCCAGGAGTTTGGGGATTAGAAGAGACCACAAATGGACAAGCCAGCATCTGGGGTCTAGAATGAGGTGGTTCTGGGGAAGAGGTCATCTTTGGGCCTGAGTTTAGCCTGCCTGAGTTCCAAAAATATCCACCCTGGTCTCTCAAAAGGCCCAGAATATCTCCCCAGCGTTAAAATACATTGTTGATGTTTATCTTACCATATGGACACATGGACTCCATGCTCTGATTTCCATTTTTCTTAGTTTTAGGGAAGAACCCAACAGTGAATGGGCTACATAAGCTCAGATGTCTTGCCTACTCCTGGACCTGGAAATCAGAAGGCTTAGCAATAGTGGAGGAGTAGATGAAAATCATGTCTCAGCACGTTAGATTGCAAATGAAATTTCCCATGGACATGACGGAGAGTTTGAACTGGCTTCATGAAGCTCCTTTCCATGGGAGGGATATCCCATCCTGACAGCTAAATTTCAAGAAGCAGTTTCCAAACCTCGAAATTTTTTTTTTTCCATGTCTAAGACTTTCTGACCATCCATTCCTCTGCTTCCTGAAACTGGGGTTATGAAATAGTTCATTGCAGTCAAGAGATGCTGTCGTGAATTCCCTCTGCTCCCCCACCCCACCTTCTAGAGTCTGAACGACAGTGTGGGGTCAGGAGAAAGTGAACAGTCCAAGTTGATGGGGATAAGAAACTATGTGAATGTGACTTCTCTAACGTAGGACAGGATGAAGTTGTGTGTTTTTTTAATCTCATATTTCATGCAGGGCTGGGCTGAGGATGTGGCAGGCATGGCATATGCCCTACGTTCACTGCCAGAGGGGGCTCCCTGCCTGCCACAGGTGAGAGCCAGCTCTGGGGTGCCTGTCCCAACGGGGAAAGGGGGGGCGGGGCCCGGCGGGGAGGGTGGGGACTCTGTCCACCTTCGGTGGTCCCCAGGAGAACTCTGCCACAGAATCCGAAACCTCGTATTATGAATTTCATTTTCTTAGCTCATAAATGAAATTGCAATGGATTAAACCCTTATACTGGTTGATTTTTGTGGCACATGCTCTTCTCTGGAACACGGTACAGAAGTATAAAGTGTGTATACTCAAATGTCTATAAAACCTGAGCCTACCCGTATTTGGTTCAATGAATCAAAATGCTTTATTGTCCTGATATGGCAAATACATTTCCATAAAAAGCCTTAGATGTGTTCTACTAAGGCCAACCACCACTAACCCAAAACCAATTGTATGCTTACCTTATAAATTAGACATTGAATTATGGCCCTGGATATAATATATTTCAATTTTTTGAATTTTATTATTTTCACTCTTCATCTTTGATGTCATATGTACCTCTCCTCAGCTGTACCGTTTTCCGATTTATTTCCTCCTAATTATTCAGCAAACAACTTAATTGACAGTAATTTCTGTAAGATCTCTCTGCCCCACTTCCAAATTCAAGTTTGTTTTTTTTTTTAAATCACCCATATGCAACCTTTTATCATTTTCTACTTTTTCCAGGATTTCTTTTCCTCTTGATGTCAGTAACCAGCCCTTCCTGTCCCAAACCTCCATATCTTAAAGCATCAGGTATAAAGACACCACACAAATATCTTTCTAAATCTTGGACTGAGAAAGCTGGCACCAGAGAAATGAAGTGTGATGAACTGATTAACGCTGAACGCTCCATCCTAAGTTGGAGGCAAAAATAAAGTTAAAACCTTTAAATACATGTCTGATAGGCTCAACCTATTCTACAAGGAGGTGTTGATAATTCAACCTTTTGGTCACCTGTGGAGGACAGTCCGAAACACCCACAGGCGCTGTTTGCTTGGAGGGTTTCCACCCACCCCAGCTCCTAACGCCTTGGCCTCCCCTCATTTGCAGTGGTCGGTATATATCCGAGCTGCTGTCCGGAAAGAGAAAGGCCTGCCCATCCTCGTGGAGCTGCTGCGGATCGACAATGACCGTGTGGTGTGCGCAGTGGCCACCGCGCTCCGGAACATGGCCTTGGACGTCAGGAATAAGGAGCTCATTGGTATGTTCCCTCCGATTCACCGCGTCTCTATCTTTTTTTTTTTAATTGAAGTATAATGCATTTCCTGTGTTTGAACCCACATGCAGAGCATATATGCGCGTGCAGAAACAGAGCATGGAAATCAATGCTCTAATTTATCTTTTAGAATTTAGAGGAAAATGTGAGGCTTGTTGACATTCCTAATCCTTGCAAATTAAAAACGACTGCAGTGCTGAGCACTGGATACCATGTCCTGATCCTCTAAATCCTTGCCAGGCTGTTTGTTTGCTTTCCATGTTGTGAACTGGAATTCTAATGAGATGCAGGCCTCTTCTTCTCCTCTCTGTGTTAAAATTTACTTTGCATTAGACCAGATTGGCTCTCCAGTCCTATTTTTCAAGAATCATTTCCCTTTATTTTTGTATTCAAGAAAGGGAAGATCCTTCATTAATGAAGCATTAAAGAGGTCATCCATAAATCTATCGATTCAACAAATGTTTGTCCATGACCTATTTTGTTCTAGGCCTGTTCTATGTCTAGCGTTCATGAGTGCTCAGTTGCTTCAGTCGTGTCCAACTCTTTGTGACCGTATGGACTGTAGCCTGTAGACAGGCTCCTCTGTCCATGGGATTCTCCTGGCAAGAATACTGGAGTAGATTGCCATTCCCTCCTCCAGGGGATCTTCCCAACCCAGGAATTGAACATAGGTCTCCTACCTTGCAGGGTATTCTTTACTGCTGAGCTTCAGGGGAAGCCCTCTAGGCCTAGAGATGATATCAAAGCAGAGAGAAGGTCTTGCCCTTGTGGAGTTTACATTCTGGACAGGGGCGACCAACAAAAGACACACATGAATCCCACGGTGTGATTGAAACATTCTGTGGGGGAAAGTGGTGCTGGGTCAGGCATGCTGTCATTGGTGAAGTTGCAGTCTTTTTAAATTGAAGTGAAATTTACATAACATAAAATTAATCACTTTAAGATGTACCTTTTGGATGGCATTTAGTATTTATACAGTGTTGTGCAACCACCACCTGTGTCAAGTTCCAAAACATTTTTGTGACCCTGAAGAAAACCCTGTGTGTGCTAAGTCGCTTCAGTCGTCTCCAACTCTTTGAGACCCTGTGGACTTGTAGCCCACCAGGCTCTTCTGTCTATGGGATTCTCCAGGCGAGAATTCTGGAGTGGGTTGTCATGCCCTCCTCCAGGGAAGCTTCCTGGAGTTCCACGATTGAATACATGCCTCTTTTGTCTCCTGCATTGGCAGGTGGGTGCTTTCCCACTAGTGCCACCTGGGAAGCCCCCAAACCCTGTACCCGTTAAGTAACCACACCCTATTTCTCCCTCCCCCACCGGCCCCTGGCAGCCAGCAGTCTGCTTTTTGTTTCTGTAGATTTTCTTACTCTGGATATTTCAAGTAAATGGAATCATGTAAGATGTGAGCTTTTGTATCCGGCTTCTTTCATTTAACATCAGGGATTATGGGTGTGAGAGGTCGAAGTCAAGGTGAAAGCTGTTGCGAAGCTAACATTTGAGCAAGGACTTGAAGCCGATGAGATGGGGCCCTGTGGTTCTTTCGGGGGAAGACTATCTGAGCTGGAGGAGCGGCCTCTGCAGACAGCCCTCCAGAAGGGGGTCTGGGAGCAGGCTGATAGTGGGTTCAAGGTCTCTGGGGGCCTGATGTGCCTGGTGCATAGTGGGTGATGGGAGTCCAGGTTGTCCAAGAGATGCTCTGGTTCCTCCTCCTGTAACTGGGAAGATGCTCAGGCCAAGGTTGATTGATGCCTGGAGAACTGATGAACCACCGGGCCCTGCCCAAGGAGAGGCACGGCTTCCCCATGGACCATTGACCCCCTGGGGTGAAAGAGATGACTCCAGTAGGGTAGATGATCAATGCAGCATGAAGCCTGGCAAGTTTGACCACAGGTAATAGGTATCGGCGAGGATCAGACAGCAGGGAGCTGGACCACGTGTCATGGCAAAGGTTCTGGTTATGCGACCTCAGGAGGTCTGGGGAAAGCAGGTGAGAGTGAGTGCAGAGGGAAGACTCCATTCCTGGGGCAGTTGGAATACCAGGCATGGGTTCAAATTTCATACACAGATTATGCATAGAGACAATGGTCTATTTCCTCTCTCCAGATTCCTGAGGGTGACATACTAGGCCCTTCATGATCTGGGAACTAGCCACTTTCTACCCCACAATTCCCATCATATCCTCCAATAAACATCAAGTGTTTGCAGGTCTCTTTTGGTTTAGTGGCTAAGTCGTGTCTGACTCTTTTGTGACCCCGTGGGCTGTAGGTCGCCAGGTTTCTCTGTCCATGGGATTTCCTAGGCAAGAATACTGGAGTGGGTTGCTATTTCATTCTCCAGGGGACCCTCCTGACCCAAGGATCGAACCTGGTCTCCTGCACTGTAGGCAGATTCTTTACCTATTGAACCACCAGGGAAGCCCTTGAAGGTCTCTAAGCCACTTATTCATTCACAGGGATCAGATTTCAAATCTGTGTCTAATAAATGCAGTTATTTGTTATGTTTGCAGTGCATCATCAGGCATGAAATAAGCTCACAACTTGATATTTATACTTAGTTTGAATTTAAATGCGGATGGTAGGTGTTACATATTTACACCGTTAGCCCTCTGTGTATTTGCTTTCCTTTTCCTGACTTGTTTGTTTCAGACAAGAAAGAGCAGTGGCTTCCAATCAAATCCTAGGGCTCCTCTGTAACATGGAGGAAAAATCAATAGCTAATCACTCTGCTACTTGGATACGAACTACTAGGTGTTGTGCATTTGTGTGTTTTATTTCTTTTGGTGGATTAAAATATAACAAAGTAGGAAACTATTGATTGATTTTCTAGCTTCAAGGCGTCTCTTCTCTCCAGGAAGTCAGTTATCTAGAACTGTCTCTGAGGCAGGAACATTTGGAAGTCCATATTGCCCCTGTTAAATTAAGCCTCTCCTATCAAATGTCACCAGACAGAAAAGGGAGCCAGCCGTTTAAAAATAGGAGTGAAAATATCTCAGTCATAGGCTTTAAGGAATCAATATCTTTTCTCCTTGAGTAAGAAAAGCAGAATTGAACAAAACAGCACACTATTCTCTTCTGTCTGGGAGAAAGGAAATGTGACCTTTGCTAACTCTTTTGCTTTAAATATTGTATCAAAGTAATGGGTTTTTATGAGACAATGCTATAGAGAACTTTATCTATTGAAAAGAAAGCTGCAGTGACTTTGAACCAAGAACAAAAACAAAATTGAACTTGGACTTTTCTCTATCAACTCAAGCAAAACTTTGGCGGGGGGTGGGGGGGGTATATGCTAATACTTCAGTCACGTCTGACTCTTTGTGACTCTATGAACTGCAGCCCTCCAGGCTCTTCTGTCCATGGGATTCTCCGGGCAAGAATACTGGAGTGAGTTGCCATGCCCTCCTCCAGGGTCTCTTCTCGACTCAGGGATCAAACCCGCATCTCTTACATCTGCCTGCATTGGCAGGTGGGTTCTTTACCACCTGTGCCACCTGGGAAGCCCCAAAGCTTCAGTATTAAAGATAGTCTGAAAATTCCCAGATAGATACCTCTGGCATGAATCTCACATCTCTGCCTGCAATAGCCTGTCCACCACCCGCATGAGAGGTCTGACAGGCATCTCAAATACAACATCTCCAGGCCTGAGTTCCTTGTCTTCTGTCCCAAGCCCAGTCCTTCTGAAGGCTTCCCTGCGGTGACCTGTCCTTGTAATGGTCCTTTGATTCTGCACACTCATACCCAATCCATCAGCAGGTCTGGCTTCCTTCTGAATTTTCACAGAACCTGACCCTTCTCATCTTCATTGCCTTGTCCCCACCCCCGCCCCGCCTCCTTAAATCTCCTCCTCTTTCACCTGAGTTATTACCGTGGCCACTTTCCAGGAGTCCTTGCCGCCACCCCAGTGCCACCATCTACTCTCAAAGGAGCAGCCAGAGTGGTCCTGTCAAAACCTTCCCTACTGCATGTCTTTTCTCCTTTGAAAACCCTGCATCAGCTCCTCATGTCTCTCAGTGTGAAGGTAAAAGTCGTTGTAAGGCAGACGCGGCTCTGTACGATCCAGCTCTCTGTTTCCTCTCCAGCCCCACCTCCTTCCTCGCTGGCCGCTGCTTCACTGCGGTTCCATCGTGACCTAAGCCACGAACCTGCCTCAGGGCCCTTGAACCTGCAGCTCCCTGCACCCCATCTCCGCTTCCTCTAGATGTCCATGTGGTTATTCCTCAACCCCTCAGGTCTTTACTCAAGTGTTACTTTCCCAAAACAACCTTTTCTGGTGCCTCTTCCTAAAATCCTACCCCCTTTTCTGCTTTATTGATCTTCACAGCACTAATCACCCTCCGACATGGAACATGTTATTTATTTGTTTCTTGTCCATCTCCCTGCACTGGAATGTCAACCTACTAAGAGAAGGAGGTTCCATCTTTTGTGTTTACTGATATAGATCATGTACCTAGAACAACACCTGACCCATACCAGGGATTCATCAATATTTGATAAATGAATAACTGAATTATTAATGACTTTTTCCTGTCTGGCCAGTATCTTATAGTGAACTGCAAATCAGCAAAACTTTAAGTAAGCAAAAAAAATATTAACTAAAGAAAAAGATTTTATATTAATAAAGAAAATTATCCAAAAGTCAGTTCATTATCCTACTAAAGTTTACTAGATGTATACAGACACTCATAATGTCAGAAGGAATCCAGTTGTTTCCATCACGGGGGTCCAGTTTGAATTACATCTCTTCTTAGATTGTTCTTTTAATTAAGGGTAGAGGGAGGGACAGTTACCATAACTCTGGTTAAGGAATGGTTCATCTTCCTTGGACTCCATGATAAGAAAAAGTTCAAATAAGCTATTCAATAATTACTTCACCCCATAAGCTCTAATGAGGATCTGACAGAATAAATTCCACTTGATCGTGGTGTATGATCCTTTTAATGTGTTGTCAGATTCTGTTTGCTAATATTTTGTTGAGGATTTTTGCATCTATGT